ATAGTCATGTTTGTATTACTGTATTGTTTCTGATTTATGTCATTAACAAACCCATTTAGGAAGTAAATACTGCTAACTGTTTTGGTAGTTTTACATGCTGATCTTTAGGAGGAGGTAAGCTAAATCACCCATTTTTACAAAATTTTCTTAAAGCAAAGTAAAGGTAAGAGGTGAACCAACTTTGTAGCTTTTGTAAGTTCTTGATCTTTATAGGTGTTTCTTGTAGGTTTTACAGTTGTATAGAACTAATATATTCAACTTTGTTGTTTACTTAATAAAAAACTTTGGCTTTCATTACCTACTCTTTCTATAGTTCTAAAGTGTATTTAAACCATCATCACAAAGTTGCAATTTCTTTTTTAACTCTATTTTAATGTTCAAGTATGCATATACAGTACTCTGAAAAAGTTTTTATAAAGTTTAATATATTAACTATATCATTTTTCTGTAGTTTAGCTTTTTGAAAAGTTTGGTTGAATGATTATCATAAAGAGTTAGTGTAATTATTTATTTTACTTATAATTTTATTTACTTTATATTTATTAAAATTTATTTAAAATTTAAATATATAGGCCAAAGAAACTTTTTGATATATTCTTTTTGCAGCTGATGTTTATTATGAAAAAATAGGTAAAAAGCCAAAAGAAAGAACAATGCTAATATCTTAAATAAGAAGTTATCAATCATATGTTTTAATATTTAATAAATCATTTGATAACAATGAATCTTCTTTAATCTGGTAGTCTTTACTTGAAGATAATTTTTTAATAAATAAAGTTTATATACTAAATATCAATTAGCTTATAAGCTATTTTCTATAATACTACATGCAGCTAGATGTAAAAGTATTTGGTCAATATTGAAGTAGTATTATGGCAAATACTGTACATGTCTTTCTTTAGACAAAATTGAAAATATGCAAAAGCTTTCTACTTTTTATTATGCAAATTCAAAAAATGAATTGTCTTATTTTTCTTCTAATGTTAAAGATTTATATAAAGCATTATTTGATATGAACTTTCTTGATATGAACTTTCTTGATAATGATGATTATAATAAAGAATCTATTAATAAAGAAAGAACTGTAAATAAAAGATCTAATAATAATAAGAATAATCCTATTTTACTAAAAGAAGATATGCTTAAAATTAAAGAATTATTGAATCTCAATGCAATTAATTTTATAGATAGTTTAGGTAAAATAATTATTGATTCTAATTTTGAATTTTTTGAAAAGAAATATATTGTTCAGAATAATGATATTGAAAATAGTAAAAAGGAAGATTTGAATATTGAAAAAGTGATTGATGCAATGTTAAAATAATATAATTTGAATATGTAAATGTTTTTTAGCATTTAGCTACTAAAACTATTGAAGATTAAGATTAATAAAGTAATTTAGTATTTTGATATTAATCTTTTATACATTTAGTCAAAATTAAAAACTGATTATAATCAATGTATAGTTTAATTAATCAATTTTAGAAATATGGTGACTTAGTGAAGTGATTAAGTTGTTAACTCTCCAAGTAGTAAATTAGAAGTTCAAAACCTACTAATAGTGAAAATTTGGAAAACTACCTATGTTATATCAGTATTACAGAAGATAAGTAGTATTATAGCAATAGCACTTCATCAATTAGTTGAAATTAGTATCTGTAACATAGTCACACCAAATAACTGGCATGTTATAGAGCATTTGCATAATGTTAAAGTTATATAAAAGAATGCAAACTGGCATCAGGCAGTACAAACTCAAGATAAGTCTTATAGCTATGTAAATCTGTGAACTGGAAAACCAAAACCTACTTGGGAAGACCCAAGTAGAGAAGTAGCACAGATCTTTGACAGTACTACTATAAAAGCTAAACCTAAAAAATAAATACTAATATGAAAAAAATCAGGTGGGCAAGAACCTCAGATAAGAAGTACTACTAACCAGGTCATCAAAAGTTTTGAACTAAAGAAAAAGAACCTTGAAAAGCAGACTCTGAAGTATTAGAACAGGTCATAGTTTTACTGAGCTATCTGGATTAGGAGTCTAAGGTCAGAAACAGGAGTATACTATAAGTACTAAGGATATGCTATAAAGTTAGTGCTAGGGTCTAAGTGAACTTTGCAAAGATGAGCCCTATTAACAAGATACTAAATGTGAGTAGTTAGTTAGCAAAGAGACCTTCTGGAGCTTTACAGTTAGATAATGTACTCTGAAATGTGTAATGGCTTGATGAATGTACAGACAAAAAGGTCATAGTTAGGTTAGATGACACTTAAATATACAGGAACTTGTATGCTATTGTCAATATAAATATAGAGATCAGAGTATTTAAATAGGTAATCTTCTAATAGATTGCAGATATGGCAGCTAGTGTAGAACCTGCTATGCAGACAGACTACTTAAAATAAACAACCAAATGTTGTACATATGGCTAGTTGTATATTCACTTTGTATAAGTTATATAATCATAATTAAAATACAATAAAGGCAATAGCTGCCAATAACTATAGCCTTAGTGTAAGCAAAAAAAAAAATTTTAATCAATTTTATTGCTTATATTATTGCTATCAATTAGAAAAGTAAAATATGTAATAGTTCACAGTTTAGTATTTAGATTTATTAATAACTTATTAAAGATTATAACTTATAAACATTACTAATATAATTAATTAAATCAGAAATTGAAGTTAGTTAATAATAAATTAAATAGATCAAGATATATAATTAATTATATAAACAAAATAATTATAATGTTTATATAGTAATTAATTTATAGTATTGAAAGTAATTATATAAAAATAAAATAATATATATACAATATTGAGTAAACAATAAAAATTTTCTGTTATTTGAGTATGTTCAATATTAATATTATCCAATAGTTAGATATAACTATGTGATGTTTTTTTTTTTAATATTTTTGTATAAATAATTATATATATCATATAAAAAATATCAAGACAAAAAAAATTCATATAATTATATTAATACTAGATAACAAAACAATAATAAATAATACAACATTAATAATAAATAATACATTAATATTCAAATAAATAAAACTTTAAGAATTAGTTCTTATTATAATTTGTAGAACTAAACTAAAGTTTATTGTAAAAGTAGAAAGCTAACTTTTTATACATAAATTATTTATTAGACTTTGGTTTATTTCTATACTTTTTATATTTACTCTTCATTTTAATTCTTTTTTTTTTTTTTTTTTTTATAAGGTGATCTTTTTGGTCTTTTGACTTTTATTAATCACTTATCGGTATTGTAATTCAATGAACTATTATAGAAAAAAGTACAATTGGCTATACATATAACTTTTTTATATTACTTATTTAAGGTTTTCACCTAAAGGTTCCCTATCAATTGTTGTATCTAACACCTCTGCTTGGGTGTTCTACTTTAAACCCTCTAAATCTGTAATCTGTATTAACTTATTGGATCATACCCAGATGCCCAGATCATCATCTCAACCTTAAAACTAATTTATCTTTGAGGTAAACCTCCTCAGAGCCTTCTGTACCTATTTTTACAGCTGATCTAGATATCACTATGACAGAACTAACAATTGCGATTAGAACTGACCATTAAACCACTATGTCCTTGTAGAGTTCACTTAGATCTCAGCATCTATTTTATAGTATAACCCCAGTACTTTAGTATTCTTCTGTCTTTTTACCTGCCTTTTTATCAAACTTCCAATTCAGATAGCCCATATAGAACTATGATTAGTCCATCAGTATATCAGGTTGGCCCAATATTCTTTTCTTTTGGTTTGTTTTAGCAGCTTGGTTAGTGATACCTTCGAAACTTTCAACCTGGAGGTTTTTGCCTGTCTGGCTACTACAACTGGGTATTATGACTTTGGTATCTGTTTCTCTAAGCTAGCCTTTACAATAGAGTCATTGAAGATCCAGCTACTTCTCTACTTGGGCTTCCCAAATAGACTTCTTGTTACCCAATTTCAACAGATTTACATGGCTATAAGAACTTATCTAGTGTTTGCACTATCTGATTTGTCAGTTTGCATTCCTCTGTATAATGCCATACTTACACAGATGTCTTATAACCTGCCAGTTATGCTGGTGCAACTGTCATTACAGGTATCCTAACCCAATCATTAGTAACAGTTGTTATAATATGAATATTACATAGGTGATTATTCAAATTTTTACTATCAATGAGATTTAAACACCCAACCTACCACTTGGGGGCTTAACAGCCTGACCACTTCACTAGGTCATCACATCCCTTATTTTAATTCTATTTAACCAAGTTATTTATATATTATTATCATTTTATATATTAATATCAGCAGATTTGTGAAATTAGTTCTTGATTGATTCTAAATAATATCTTTAATAATACTCAAATTTTAACAAATTCTGTAAGTCTGGTAATTCTCTAAATCTATATTATATCTTTAAATATTTGTCTCTAAAAAATAGGATCCTTAAACATATTTTACTTACTATTACTAATAAAAAAATCTAGTAACAATACTATAAATATATGAGTGTGACCAAGAAAATCCTATTATCATTTAGGTTTATTTCTTACTAAACTTGATCTATTTGATTTGTTAAGATTAAAGATGGCAAATGATTTAAAATACAATATTTTAAATCAATATTATATTGCTTTAAAATGATTTTTTTTTATAATTTAAATCATCATTATTGATAACCAGATAAATTTTATTTCAGATCATGCAATATGATTTTAATTAACATCATTTCACTATATTTGATACAGCATGGTTAAAAATCTGTTGATTGGCCAATTTTTTAAAATACTATGTTATACTATTTATGCATGCATCATATGATTTATTACGCCAAACTACAGAACTTACAGAACTACAAAAAAAAAACTTTTGGAAGCTTAGTTGACTTGAAATTTTTTCGTATTTGTGCTTACCAAGGTTTTAGCTTTCAAGATCCAAAAATAAAATTTCAAGATCCAAAAATAGGCAAAAGTTCTACCAGCAACAATGCCAAAAGGTAGACCTCATAAAAATATAAGTCTTTGTGCAGTATGTGGCAATAATGACCTTCAAGAAAGGTTTCATGTACTGATGCCAGTTCTTTTGACCAAAGTTAAGCAAAGTCCAGCATTTTCCAATTTAAATGTAGAACTTGGCTTATACAACCAATTGTGTCATCAACATTATGTCGAATTAATTGCATTTAATAGAAACTTGAAACCAAATAGATGATAAAAATACAATTCAAATAGAAACTTGAAACCAAATAAATGACAAAAATCCAGTTTAGATTTAATTTATAATAAGGATTTGGAAGAAGAAAGTTCTAATGAGCAATACAATATTGGAAATTGTTACGAAAATGGCATAGGCATTCCTGAAAATGAGAGAAATGCATTTGAATAGTACTTGAAATCCACTGAAGGTGGAAATTCTGACAGTCAATTAAAAGTTAGAAATTGTTATCAAAATGGTATAAGCATAGCCAAAGATGTAAAGAAGGCATTCAAATAGTATCTAAAATCTGCTGATGGTAGAAATCATGATGGACAGTTAAGAGTTGGAGATTGTTACTTGAATGATGTAGGCATATATAAAGACAAAAAGAAGGCATTCGAACAATACTTAAAATCTGCAAGTAATGGAAAATCAGAGAGACAATTAATTATTGGAAATTGCTATCAAAATGGTATAGGAGTTCCTAGTGATGAAAAGAAAGCTTTCAAATGGTATTTAAGATCTGCTGAAAGTGAAAATCCTAGTGGACAATTGAATGTTGGATTTTGTTATGACAAAGGTGTAGGAACTTCTAAAAACAAAGTAAAGGCATTTGAATAGTAACTAAAATCTGCAGAAGGCAGTAATTTAGAATGATTTAATATCAATGCAGATATAAATATTCTTGGTGATGAAATTTATTTATCACAAGAAAATTATAAATATTTAATTAAAAAGATTTTAAACGTGAAACAACCTAAAAGAGAGATATCTGAACTAAGTATAAACAGCTATATTCGAAATAAAAATACAGGTATTATACGATTTTATTTAATTAATATATAAAAATAAGAATTTTTTTTTTTAATATTTATTACTAATTATTGTAGAAATTAAACAGTTTTCAGAGTACTTTAGTGATCAGGTAGCACGGATAAAAAAGTTCTTTATAAAGATCAACAAGAAGGAAATCTATCGCAATTAAATGCTAAAGATTTTATTAATTTAATTGAATGTAAAGATTCCAAGCTTTAAGGATTTTTTAATATTTTATATAATGCAATGAATCCTAAAGAAAAATCAGTAAAAACACAAAATTTTTTAAAACAAAAGATTATGATATTTTGCTACCAAATAGCTGGATTATGAAACAAGCAAGTGAGCAGTGCCAAAACTGCATTGGGACTTTTTCTTGCAAAGTCTGGAGCCTCAGCTCATTGTGTTAATACAATAACTAATATAGGATTATATATTACTTACCAAACAGCTTTTAATAGAATTAATGGAATAAGCAATAAACATCGAATTAGTGAGAAAAAATATATTCAAGCTCATGTAAGTAAAATATTAATTAATACTGTAGTATAAATTATTAAGCTATATACTAATATTAATATAATTTTAATATCACAAACTTTTTATTGCATGTGTAGATGATTATCATAATCTTCACGGAACTCATATTCCATCAACAAATTTTGCACAACAGATTGTTCACTATGCTACCATATTATTCAATACTATTAAATGCTTACCTATTCCTTATAATTCTGTATATGGTTTTCCTATTCACAATCATCAAGGTGTTGATGCATCTTTATTAAAAGAAATTTGCCGAAAATGATATATATTTATTTTGGCTAATAGTTATAATTCTGAAAAATCAACTTGGAGTTGGGTATCAAACGATACAGGCTTAATTGAAAATTTAACAATTCATTCTTATAATGCAGATATTATTGAGAAGTATCATCAAAATTTTAATCAAACTAAATTAATAGATTGTATCGAATTAGATTTGAAGAATACTAAAAATTATATTGAGGCAGTAAAAACATTTTTAAGGTTAATATATTTTTTTTAAAATTAAAATAATATCTAATTTATTAAATTAAAAGTTTATCAGAAGTAATCAAGTATTTAATGAATTATGTTATCCCACTTCTGGCAGACTTTCCTGGTTAATTATTTATAAAAAGAGCTATTACAAAAAAGTTAGAAACTGAAGAATTGTTGATTTCAAAAGAAATTGTACATTTAGTACCATTCTTGGATCCACTTCATGTTTCTCTTAATACACGAAAATCTATTATAATTGTATTTTATTTTTTTTTTGATTATTTTTATAAAGCAATATTTAAAAAAAAACAAAAACTTGCTATTAAGTCTAGACTGTGGTGAATTAATTTGTTATTGTATTTAGTACATAAAGGTTGGCTTTTAGTTAAAAAATATATTACCAAGTCATTTGAAACTTCTAAGGATATTGTATATATTACGTTTTTAGATTTATTAGATAATTTAATTCCTGCCACTTTGGATATATATATGCATTTATTTCGTAAAAATCATTTTGAAGAATATATTAATACAATATTTTGGTTGTAGACTATAATGTGAAGATTTCAAAGACACAATTATGATAAAATTATGTTAGTCTTTCTTTCAGATATTCAATATTGGAAAATAACTGAACATCCAATAATTAATATTTTAAAAACTCATTTGAATGCGTTTGATGAATATCCAATTGAGAACTTTCACAGCTTATTACAATGTCATACTAGTGCAAAAGTAACAATAGGAATGTCTTTAAGAAGAGATGCAATATTTCTTGATCATTGTCGTCACGAAAATGCATTTGTTACATCTTTTGAAGCAAAGCGTGATTATCCTTATACAGAAAAAGATCTGGATAATTTGGTAAAATAATCTACTATTTTTTTGTTAGATTTTTTTACTAATTTGTAACAAAATCCAAATAAAACTGAATTAAAAAAAGAAGGAAAAAAAAATAAAAAAGATTTTTATTATTTTTCTGGTATTCAA